GTGCGCGTGCGCGCGCGGCGCCTGTGTGTGTTTGTGTTGGCATGAATTTTAGTTTGGAAAAAATAAATATACAATGATGAATAAAGTCGAAAAAATTGGTATAACATGTCAATACAAGACATCACATTAAACTGGATGACATGATAGTATACGACACAAGCTGCAAAAGAAAATGTGATTTTTTTTTTTTTTTTTTGAAGAACTCGTTTGAGCCAACAAACACTAAACCATTAATTTTCTTGTCGTTTTCATGCCATGTCAATAATCTCACAACCACTCTAACTACATTATAAAGGATCTAACCCTCATTCGTCATAAATGCATTTATTTTCCTTTCTAGTTATGATTGTGAATATATATAGTTACTTATTGCACGACGACAACTGCCTCAAAATTGACACTACTCAAATATACAACGATCCTACTGACCGGAGTGAAAAGGAAATATCAAGCAACACCATCTGTGATTGCAAGAAAACAAGCATAGATCGCGAAATAAATAGACCAAAAATTCCAAGTTTCACATAATTAGTTGACTTACATCTTGTAGTAAAAAACAGTAGCCTCCCCCGAACCAGAGGATGGAATCAGGTGCTTGTCGATGACAGAAAGGATGTCATGGCAAATCTTTGACAACTCATCCTCCACCTTCTGTCGGTAGCCCCTTATCAGCCTCACATTGTTCTCATTTCCCTTGGATTCTTCCTTCTGTTCGATCGAGGACATGATACGCCACGAAGCTCGTCGAGCGCCAATAACGTTCTTGTACCCCACCGACAGCAGGTTTCTCTCATCCACCGACAGTTCAACGTCTAGTTTTGCGACCTTTTTCATGCTCTCAACCATTTCTGAAAAAAAAACATAAATGATATGTAAGTCTGAAAGCAAGAACATTTATTGGAAAATACAATCCATGCATCCTATTTCTTGTCAATAAAACCCATTGCTTGAGTTTTCTTATCAAAATTTATTTTTTTTTTTGTCCATTGGGTTCAAACTTTTGAAAACGGTTTAACCCGAATTTCGTGCTCAGACATACATATCGATGCAGGAAGTAAATCTAATGAAAGAAATTGACAAACAAATTCTTTAGGTTGGAAAACTCGAAAATTTTTCTCTATTCTCATAAAGCCAATCAATTTTCTTCCATATTCTGTTTCCTCAACCAAAATTCAAATCCCAAAATATGAGATTAACAATAACAGGCTTTATTCCAACCACAAGAAAGTTTCCACATTCAGAAAATCAGACAAAACAAGTTCAACAGCAGTAACAATTTCGACATTAGAGATCTCAGCCTACATTATACACACACACACACACACACAAAAAAAAAAAAAATCCCCAAACTCAACGGAAACAAATCTAAAACAACGACATTAGATTCGGTACAAAAAACACACACACATACACCGATCTATCAACACACGCACGCGCGCACACACACACAGCGCCACAAAACCTAATCACCACAAATCCACTCCAAATGTACGCACAACGTCGCGAAACAGCATTTTCTCACGAAATGCGGACAATTGGATGCAACAAATACATAAATAAATACTGAAAAACAACAATGTGCATTATACAGATGAAATCAGCTCGTACCATCATAACGCTCGGCTTGTTCAGCGAGCTTCGCCAAGTAGACTTGAGTCTCTCTCTCGTTCTCTGTCGACATTTTCTGATTTCTGGAGATCTAAAAATGATTGATATTGAGAAAGAAAAAGGGACAAAAATTATGTGAGCTGTGTGGAGAGATTTGATGAGAAGGAGAAGGTATAAATTGTTACGTAGATGAAAATGGAAGGGGATGAGAGGCAGTTGTGTATTTTTGAGGAAAGCTGGGGACGCAAATTGTAAACTTGCGGAAGGGGGGACCACACGTGTTGGTGGGATTTTTAATATTTTTTTTGCTATATTTTTCCAAATCCTAATGAATTTTGATTAGATTGCGCGAATTTCCCACAACTTATTAGTTTAATTGTGTTTTTTTGGTCAAACATCAAATCTTCCTTCCTCTTTTATTTTTTTTGGTACAAAGAAGGTTTCGAACATGTCTAAGCTAGGACTCGTCGGGGGGTATGAGACCCCAATGTTATCATGGTCAAGCCATGCGCCTAATCCCGGAGGCGGTAAAGTGACACGATGCAACCCATTCGGAAAGTCCGCCGCTAAGCTCGCCAGATAGTCAGCAGCACAGTTCGCTTCTCTATGAACATGCTGGACTCGCACGGTCCACTCCCGCTTCAAGATATCTTGTATTGCCCTAACCAAAGCCTCGTGAGTCCCAAAGAGGCCATCCTCATTTGTCACCATTCGCAAAACACACTGGCTGTCAATTTCAACAATAAGTTGTCGATATCCCGAATCCCAAGTCAGTAAAAGCCCCTGGAAGAGCCCCCAGAGTTCGGCACCCGTGACGGTGCAAGAGCCAATATTCATAAGGAATCCCGTTTGCCAATGTCCCATTTCATCCCGTATTAGCCCGCCAGCACTACTCAACCCGGTGCGGTTATCAAAGGCCCCATCAGTATTTACCTTTAGCCACCCCGGGTCCGGTGCAAATCTTCCTTCCTCTTATTTATAAGAAAACACACCACCACTTCCTTTTTTCACCACGTGGCACCTCTCAAACCGCTCTATTTCTTCCAAAACGGTGTTGTTTATGAGTTTGTTCGCAAACTCTTTGTTTGGTTTTTTTACGCTGCAAGTTGTGAATGATGTCATTTTTTTTTTTTTAATGAAATGACACTTTTCCGATTTTCCCTCACATGCTACTTCAACTGAGAAGATTGAAGCAAGACATTTAGTTCTACTCTGCACAATAGCTCTCCTTAATTGCTATTTTTCCTCCTCCATGGCCGAATTCCCTTCTACCCGTTTCCCAGCCCGAGCCAAATTCCATCCCAATCGGGCCTGATTTCCCTTATTACTGGTTCTACCACTGTGGCGTGCGCCGTCGAGATCCTACCGAATCGCCCTGACGACGTCTGTTGCGACTACTAGAAAGGTTTCGTGGAGTCCATCTACACCGTCGTCCTCCCCACCCGGAAGCCGCTGCCGACCCCCTGGCCGATCCCGCCCTCGATTCCGCCTCATCGCACATGCGGCGCGATGCGTCACCCGCTCTCCTCTTAGATTCATACGACGCGGAATACCTCCAGATCGAGATGGAAAGATGTGATAACGAGAACGCCCCCTTTCCTTTCTTCTCATCCATGCAATTTTTCAATTTGTATGAATGAATGAATAAGTACATTTCTGCTTGTGAACGCTACTAACGTTGTTGGGGGTAAAAAGGTGGAAACAGGCGAATCACTGGCGGTCGACCCAGCCCCGATTGTTAATCTGCGGCAATCTTTGTGCATAAGTTTGACGAGCGATGAAACTCCGGTGGTCCGACTGTATGCCCCCGACTACTCCACTCAACTCGAAGGTAAGATTGGAATCTGAGGAACAATTCTCCATTCGCATCTATTTCTTTTCAAGGTTTCTTCCAAGAATCAGCATGGGTGGTCGTCGTTCAGGTCGTTGTCCAAGCCTCAGGGTGATGACGGCGCTGCGTTTGGTCGGTGGTTGGTTTCTCAGAGCTCGTGGGGTGTCCTCAGCTATTGGGGTTGTTCTTTTCTCCAGCTAGCTTATTTCTGTTTAAAGTTTAGATTTTTACACAATGGCATAAATACGAACATTAGTTGTCATGCTGTTGTGTTACCTCTTTATCTTGTGACTTTGGATCCCAACTGCAAAAGACAGGATTTTTATTGGGGTAAATTGCACCAAACCCCCCC